GTGCGTGTTTAGCACAGCCAGCCCGTCGCTCAACCCCCGCCAGATGCCGCAGCTAAACCCTCGATTAAGTGCCCTTCACGATCCTCCCTTTTGCCAGTGGCCCAAGGCTTCTTCTTCACTACCACCGCCGCCACCACCACTGGCCGCCAACAAAGTATCCACCCTCAGAGCCACTTACCTCGCACTTGCCCATAGCACTGCGTTTTCGAGTCATCCACCAATGGAATCGATGAGCCCTTTGCTGAAACAATTGATTGCTCCTTGTACGTTATTATTATAAACTTACAGACTTTATTATCATTATCAAACGTAAAAAACAGATACCGATAATCTGAACTCTGGAATTCCATCACGCGCTTCACGAATTGACCGCTAGGTGGCAGCAGCGGCGCATCCATCGCTCTCGCCACGCTGGAAAATGCCCCGCTGCATTATCGTGCCATATGATGCCTTATTACATTAACATAATCCCGTATAACTGGGTCAACGTCCCGACGCTCAGCATCGAGCGGCACTCTCGAGAAAATCAATAAATACCCTCAACCATTTCATATACGACTATCAATCCCGTCTTGCTCGTAGAATTATGAACTTGCGTATCGACAAGCGTAACGGTCTGTACAAATCTTTATTAAGGTACGAAGTATGTTTTGATTGGTCGATTTTTAAAATTAAATGCATCTCAACGGATCGGTGTAACGGTAAATTATTTGGTTTTATAAATATTACCAAGGATAATTACATTTTTTTTTAGATATGGGACATGGGGTGGGGTTGGTATATTTTTTAATGCTGATCCTTCCCGTAGATCGTAAAAGCATTGAAGTCTTGAGAAATTCCTTGGCTAATTGTTATTTCGAGTTCAATTAACGGTTATACAGTTCCAGGTATGGTACGTGAATATTATATGGGGATTATCGATCCGAGAATCCAGGTCTCCTTTTTTTGATGGGATTCTGGAAGCAGGAACCAAGGAACACCAGGGATCGTTCTATGCAACGGGTACTACGATACCTTTCTTAGTCTTGGAGGCTAGCAACATTAATTAAGAGCCCTAATGACGTCGTAAAACATTAATTGGCCGTGCCACGTTTAGAGAGCCGCCACATTGTGTAGTATAGGGTTACGCGTGGCCTTTTACAAGTTTCTTGGTTATGGCAATGGGGTTCCACAACCCCTCCCGCCCCGCCAATCGATGCTGGGGGTGCTCTCGCTGATGTTCCAGGTAGCTCCCCACCTAGCTATCTACCTTGGTTCTGTACCATGAAAGAGGTCAAATCTCAAATTACCTTCTGCATATCCCCCTGAGTCCCCAGCATCCACCGCGACCCCCTATCCACCCCCATATAATCGGAGCCACGAAATAAAATAATAAAAGCTGGATAACGGAATTTCTGTACCTATTTTCATTTCGTGCTGAGTTTTATTTTATTTTATTCTTCACCCCTTCCCTTCGCCTACGGCTCTTACTCCCTTTCACCCTATCCACTCCTCGGCCGGTCTCTTTTACTCTCTTGTATTTTTTCCCCTTTTTTTCTCTCTTTACCTTTTTTATTCTCTCTCTCTCTCTCTCTCTCTCTCTCTCTATCTCTCTCACCACCCGACCAGCGGCTATTAACTTTTACGCGAAGCGTTTACTTTTTAATCTCGTGGAAAAAAAAGGAGCCGCTCACTTATACTTTTAATTTAATTTCCCGGACCTTGCGCAGTGCTTGCGACCTTTCGCTACTTGGTCTCATTTTTTTTTTTTTTTTTTTTTTTTGGG